CTCTCTCTGTGTCGTCGTGTGTATATATTGTATATATATATATATATATATATATATATATATATATATATATATATATACACCACGCGCGCAGACACGAACCTCCGCGGATTAGAACTAAAAACGCAAGCTTGTCAACATGTCCTCCATGTTCCGACTCGAACTCAAGAAATAGTAGCTAATGCGCGGCATGTACCAATAAAATTAACGAAAATATAGATATAACACCATAACTCGGTAGCTTGACACGATGGTGCTAGCGTAAGCAACTGTGTATATAATAATTTATATCATTCTTTGCAGACATACGCATATTAATGAGTAGGTACAAGCGTAATCGTTAGAGTCGCTAGAGTTTTGAGTTTCTCGCTAGATGCAACGTTAGCTAGTGATGTAAATTGTGTGCTTTACAATCCGTAGACGGCTTTCGCAACAATTTCCGAATCTAATTTTCACGACGACTAGCCCGCACGAAACGACATTTTCCAGAAACCGTTTAGCGCTGAAAGCGCGTTTAGGAAAACTACCTTGCAGTCAACGAATTGTAAACGCGAATACATATCAAGGAACTATATGCAATTTCACCGTAACCGTGCAAGACCGCATCTTATTAGTGACTGCGACAAAAGAACCACTACAGGAAACCATATATGCTTAGGGGAGCTTCCGATTCCTTCAAATACAAACCACGATGCAACGCTGCCATTAGCAGACAACTTAGAATGTGTGTTTATGAGTACCGGGTATCGAACTCGGTCCCCCGTGCATCAAACAATATACGCTACAACTACGAAATGCAAATAAGCTGGGTTCCGTAGAGACTTGAGATCTAGGCTGGTGACCGGGGCGCGGCAATAACGGTCTTTCTGTCCGGAATACATGAAATCAAGAGCTAATAATACCAATAACTACTACGAATAATATAATATTAGCTCTTGATGAAATACATGCGTCTACAGCGCATTAACATGGGAACGTACCCCGCAGTGAGGCGCGCCCGCCGGATGGCCCCAGCAACATTGCCCGCTAGCTCGATTACTTTCGCAGCCGTCGATAAACTGCAATCACGGTTTACTAATGAGCGTGCGGCAATCGACAGCAGCACAGCACTGAACCCAACACAGTTCGGCTCGGCATCTCATAAACGCCTGCTGCCGCTGACATGAGCATCCGGGTGTGAGTAAGGCATTTGCGGCTCCCGCGCGGGGGTACGGCATATATACAGACGTCCTACCCCCATGCGTACATGCTTGTGCTGCGCCTATATATACTCTTGATATATATATATATATATATCAAGAGTACATAATGTGAGATCTCCCATAAGAGTACATCTCCCACTATGTACTCTTGATATATATATATATATATATATAATATATATATACATATATATATATATAAACTAGAAAGGGCAGTTGTCGCAACTACATGTATCCCCCGTGATCTTGTATGAATGAAATATCTCTGAAGGACGTAGAAGGTAGGTAAAGTTAAATAAGTCACAAAGACAAAGGTTTGTTACACAGCTCATCCGCCTGGAATGTGCAAGTATGTTAAATGGTTGCCTTATAGGGGTTTTGGTACGCGACACACCTTCTCCCCAAGATGTGTAAGTATACCAAGTTTGGTAGCGCAGGTCAATTTAGGGCCGAGTTAAAGAGCAGAAAGGAAATATGATCAAGGTCAAAGTAAAGGTCAAATTAAAAGTCGTAGTGATCTGGTTTTGGTACGCGACACACCTTCTCCCCAAGATGTGTAAGTATACCAAGTTTGGTAGCGCTAGGTTAATTAAGGGCCGAGTTATAGAGCAGAAGGGAAATATGATCAAGGCCAAGGTAAAGGTCAAATAAAAGTCGTAGTGATCTGGTTTTGGTACGCGACACACCTTCTCCCCAAGATGTGTAAGTATACCAAGTTTGGTAGCGCTAGGTTAATTAAGGGCCGAGTTATAGAACAGAAGGGAAATATGATCAAGTTCAAGGTAAAGGTCAAATAAAGGTCGCAGTGACCTGGTTTTGGTACGCTGCCCACCTTCTCCCCAAGATGTGTAATTAGACCAAATTTGGTCACGCTAGGTCGAGTTATAGAGCGGAAGGAAAAATCTCTGTGGCTAACCGAGCGGCGGCGGCGGCGGCTGTACAGACATGAAACCATAGTATCCCAGCCGACTTCGTCGCGGGGGATACAATTAATGAAATTCTATTTTACTAATAGAACGTGATTAAACGCAGAGAATACGCAGTTACTCATGTTAACATGCTACGCAGCAAATATCGGATGGCACACACACAGTACTAATCCATAATCCGTGGTAAATGCCAAATAGCGTGCATTCAATTCAATGTGCGAAAAACCAATAACCTGGCCTGCTTATGTTAATATATCCCAGAAACGTGTAGTTTATTATCATGCTAAATATATACCTGTGGAATTTTGAAAGGACCAACTTCCACGAAATTAAATACGTGTGAGTGTAAACATGTATAGTTCTCAAAAGTTGTCGCTGGATTAGTAGTTTCTCGCAAGAATTGGTTTAACATTTCCCGCTTAATTACCGTGGAAATCAAAGTTTACAGTCAGCCACCTGCCTGGCTCATTAATTATTGTAATTAAATAACTACAGACAAGAGACTGGCTATTATGTCTGAGCTGCCTTGTTACTTCGTAGATGCGCGGGCTCGATCACTATTGTAGTGTAGGGCTATAGCCATTAGAATAAATACAATTCGCCGAGTTTTAACCACACTCGTGCATCAGTGCTATATGCGTATGCGTGTATGCGTGCGCGTGTGTATATTTTGTGAGTTCATCTGAAATCTTGCGTGTAACTCTACGCCTGTCTGTGTGTGTACGCGCGCACGGCGTGTACATGCCGGCATGCGTTTCAAACAGTCACGCGCACATTGCCATGGTTACCGCGTGCACAAGAACACTGCTGCGGTTACGCGGAAGACACATAAACGTTGCCATGGTTACCGCAAGCTGACGTGCAGACACTGCCATGATTACTATGGGGAGACACGCATCCATTGTTATGGCTATTACTGCGACTAGATGCGCACACGTTGTCGTGGTGACCGCGGGCAGACGCCCACACGTTGTCATGGTTAACGCAGGCAGACGCGCATGCTTTGTCATGGTTACCGCGGGCCGACGCCCACACGTTGTCACCGTTACCGCGGGCAGATGCGCAGACTTTGTCATGGTTACCACGGGCAGACGCGCAGACTTCGTGTGGTTACCGCGGGCAGGCTCCCACACGTTGTCATGGTAACCGCAGGCAGACGCGCAGACTTTGTCATGGTTACCACGGGAAGACGCGCATACTTTGTCATGGTTAACGCGGACAGACGCGCAAATTTTCTGTGCCCCCCAGGTGCCCCCCCCCACTGAAAATTCATGCTTGATGAAAAAAAAATTGAATTAAAAACAATGCCGTTAGAACAGCATAATACAAAAAAGTTATATATTGTGCCCCCCCCTCCCACGAAAATGTAAGGCCCCCAGTGCACCCCCTCCCCGCTGAAAAAATCCTAGCTACGCCACTGGCAGACGTCCAGACTTTGTCGTGGTTACCACGGGCAGACGCTCACACGTTGTCATAGTTATCGCGGGCAAACGCGCAGACTTTGTGTGGTTACCAAGGGCAGACGCGCAGATTTTGTGTGGTTACCAAGGGCAGACGCGCAGACTTTGTGTGGTTACCAAGGGCAGGCGCGCAGACTTTGTGTGGTTACCAAGGGCAGACGCGCAGACTTTGTGTGGTTACCAAGGGCAGACGCGCAGACTTTGTGTGGTTACCAAGGGCAGACGCGCAGACTTTGTTTCAAGGTTACATGGTTTAATGACTGTCGGGCGCTCCGGCGTCATTTACGACGGATTCGAGCACGAAATTTCCAATACGTTTTCAAATTACACGCCGTCGAAACAGCCGCAGATGAGTGCCGGCAGGGAGAGGGCGATTACTAACTTCAAAAGCCTGTATCGGGGGAGGAGGCAGGGCACCAACGAGGGAAGGAAGGAACAGCACCGAGTTTGGGGAGAGGGGATCTGAGCACGCAAGGGGAAGAAAAACAAATGTGCTCGCCGTGACGGGGTGTCAAGACTGCTCACTCGCCGAAAATTCGTCATCAAGATTTTTTGAGGCAACATATCGCAATTCATTGTTAATTATTCAAACATAATATAAAAAACTAAACAATGCGAGTGCAAATCACAATGTGACAAACGGGTCAAAAGTCGACTTGCTTATGAAGGGTGTGCTTGCGCGCACTCGCGCCATATGCCATAACTATGATATTGCAATTTAAATCACATATAATTTCTAACATCATTCACGGCAATGTATTATAACCTGTTCATGCTCTGTTTACTTCTAATCTGTAGACAACAGGGCTTTTAGACTTCCTTACGACAGTAAATAACGTTAACATTTTTCTTAACCTCTGACTAACCCAAGTACGCTGTATACAGGTAAGCGAGATTAAGGTTTAAGGTTAAGGTTAGATGGGTAGAGTTTAGGCCTGGCCTATTATAATACCCATATCTGTCCGATAGTTTGTTTTTAAAGCAGTTGACCGTCTTGGCCTCGACAACAAATGTTGGCAGTGCGTTCCATGCATTCACCACTCTTTGGCTGAAAAAGTGCTGTCGCAATTGCAGCCTGGATCTATTTTTGAATAGTTTCAGGGGATTACCCCTGGTGGTTCCAGTTGCCGGTGTGAAAAATTGGTTGCTATTCATGTTTTCTTTGTCTGTTAAAATTGTGTAAGTTTCGAGCAGGTCTCCCTCCCCTCACTCTCCTCTGTTCCAGTGAATATAGACCTAGAATTTCCAGTCTCCTCTCGTATTCCAGGTTACGTATAGAGTGGACTAGCTTGGTTGCCCTCCTTTGCACTTTTTCTGAGATGTACACAAATGTCATAACGAAAATAGACCCCTCAACGACAGCACATAAAACACTTGTAATAACTATGAGAAAGAAGTGTGTATTTCGTTGCGAACGATCGTTGATTTGACATTTTCCTGACGGTCGGCAACGCAAGAAACATACATTATAGACAGGTATTCTCCTTAACAAATAATTTTTTATGCGTAACGTAGATTCAAATCGTTATCTCGCAAAATATTAATGCAATACTTAACAGAACGTATCACACGATATTCGACAAGATTTGCTACCGACACAAAAAGCACTGGTCTAGGATGCCGTGGAGGGAACAAACACGAATCCAGACTTGGTGAAGGTAATAATTATATTTTCGTGGTGTATTAAGAGCCCATCACTACCCACACGCCATTCACATAATCAACACGCACACACGCGCACGGACACGCACGCGCACGAACACACGAGCGGCACACTACACCTTTAGCGTAACGATTTTATGGCCAGCAACGGCAAAAGCTGGATACTTTCATTTTCTAAGTGCAAAAGTCCGTTCGGTTGCAAGAGCAGCACTTCACCTGCACTAATAAATGTGTTTGATTGCCGTCGTACCACTCAGTAAGTGAGATTTAACGCTTCACACCCTTCTCACAGATGAAGCCAGATTGAATGATCGTTTCACACTTTCCCCGATGCTGCGCTGAGCAGAAATGTTTTGCTACGCGCTGTAGGCAAGAAAGGAGAATGAATGAGCGCGCCCTCAGCACCTGCAAATATCCAACATCTCTGAGTGGCCAGAAACACCAGGAACAATGACCGGAAACACTTGACTAAGGTGACCAACTCCATTTATAAGTGACCAACAACATTTGCAGATGACCGGGAACACCTGCAGAGATGACCGGAAAAAACCTAGAGATGATCAGCAACATGTGCATTGAATGTCGGAAACACATTTTAACAACAGTTAGTGTTCTTGTACAATAACCATGTAAAGCACATCAGTATATAACATGCATAACCAACCAGCCACCATATACATACTTGACGAGTGGGAATAACCATACCACGTATCTGTTAGTGCTGGCAAATAGCCAGGTAACCCCTCTGCGCACACAATTAGGATATTCAGAGTACCAAGAGCGTATTACATTCTTAATACGCGTTTGATGGTACTAAAATAAGTGCACATAACTGAAAACTGATCTTCATGCCAAGTTCATTTATGATACGCGTAGCTTCTCATAATCACAGCTTTCCCAGGCCCAGCCTGCACTGCTGAGGTTTTGTCTTGAATCTGCAGCAACAGCGTCAGTACGGTGACCGTGAAATGGCCGTGGGCACGGCATCAGCTCTGCGCATTCTCTCCGATAATTAAAATTGCACAGCTGTGACAATCTCTGCTTCTCCAGGCAGAGGGGACTTGCGTTTTTCCCGGATCACCTGCTGCAAGCAGTCCCATGTTGGTAATTCCGCACAAACACGCATAGGAAGCTCGCTGTCATTGCAATTCGTAGCTCACAGACAGACTTAACGCGCTGCGATATCAGAATCGGCTTGTTATTGTTATTGCATCGCGTGCAAAACGCCATACTGAGCGCAATGCATGCCAGTCACGCTACAGTGAACATGCGCCGAGGTTGGCTGGTGACACGTACAACATACCCCACGTATAACACATCCGCGAGCATACGCACGACCTCTACTAGCAAACCGAGAGCTACGCGAAACGATGATGACGGTTAGTTACCGACTGACATGACGGCGCCATTGCGTGCACGCCGACACGCACACGGACATGACAATACGTAAAATGTTCGGTGCTATCTACTGCCGATTGGCCTAAATAGCCAGTGCTTGCAGCTTCGTCTTGTAGAGGCCAGCAAGCATCTTCGTTGCCATGTAGATGTGGTCCCGTCGCGACACACCCGTGAGAGACAGCTGCCAGTCCGCACGATCCACGTGGGGTATATTCTTTTGTATTACTTGGCCTGAAAACAGTCTCTCATGCTTAACCAAACAAGATGGCTGGACACTAAGGAAAAGTGAATGCAACCTGCTGACGTGTCAATGCAATTATAGATAAAAATTTCGACAATTTGCATTATTAATTAAACAATTGGTTTACTTAATACTTACACTGTTAATTACACTATTCTACTCTACTAATACTGATAACAAGAGCCGCAGAGTGTCTGGGCTCATCTGAGGTCTGTTGCTACGGTTATAAACGTAACATTTAAGTCGTGCGTAGTGACACCTTTGTTAGGAGACGCAGATATGCAGATACGCAGTTGCGTACACATCATTTCAGCAACCTTTTGCATTCTGCATACCTCCCAAATCCCATTGGTTGATACAAATCGCGTGCCTGAAACTCCTGTTTTATGGTGCATTGTGACCCTAACCCTAACACTATTAAAAATAAAAATAAATTAATTGTTGTAAAAATCATTTGTTGTTATTAAATTGTTGTAAATAAATCATGTAAATATATGCGTTAATTAGAAAAAAATAGTTAAATGGATAAAGATAGAAAAATACAGAAAAAAGGTAAATAATAAAATAATCTGATGGGATTCGATCCAACGACCTTTGACCCATGACGCCTGTGCTCAGTGTGCTGTACCCGTTGGGCTATCCAGGCTGACTGGCTTTCTAGATTATGGATGTGCCATGAATATGAGAACACTATGACATCATTGAGGCAGTTCTGGAATCCACGTTTAACCCTCCTCTTAAAGGTCAAAATGTTATCAGACACTTACTCTTCGCACGTCAGTGGAAAGCACATTTCATGGTCATTTCAATAAAGTGATAAAAATGGTAGGTCAGCGCTGAAACAAAAAAGTTTTCACTCTGTCCATTAGGCCATGTCCTCAGAAAATGTCTGATATCTGACCTTTCCCCCACTGCCCTTTGACCTGTGACCTCCAATTTCGCACTGGAGATGGGTTTCCTGCCCATCACACTATACACCGAATATTAAGAGCATAGGTCGAGCCGTTAAGATTTGTGCAGCAATTCCGTATTTCCTCCTATATCTTAAGTTAAGGGGGAAATATTCCCCCTCCGTTTACACATCTTGACCTTTGACCCTTGACCCCCCAAATTTGTCATCCCGAGTCCTTTTCACGACTCCCCCCCCCGACGTCCCGAATATCATGACCGTACGTCGAGCGGTTAAGATTTGTGCCCAACTGTTGACGCACGGACGGACGCGCGGACGATCATGCGATTCTACAAGCTGCATCTAACTACGTCAGATGAGCTAATAAATAAGGCAGGAATAGATAAGAACCCTAACCTCAAGCTTTTACCCACAAATGCAAGTAAGATACTCAAATATTGCCTATGAATGTAAACTACCATAATGCTTATATTCCTGATAATATAAAACTTCACATTTGACATCAGTATTCTAAAACCTACAGCACCCATGAGCTTTACTCCTCCCCTTTACAGATATTTTCAGGCAATCCAACTTTCTGCATGACCCCATCAGACAGCATACCTCAGCATTTCAAATACGGGTTGTTTACGTTTTAATGCCACTACGTCAAATAAAATGATTTCAGTTTTTATATAATTGATGGCAGAATCACACATTTTAATGGGCAGTGTTGCCTGGGCTATAGTCCCAAGTCATTTTATGGAGACAGCCGGCATCTACTTCATTGCAGATGAATCAGTCAATTCGCAGAAACTAGATTGACAACTATGCCTTACAGAAAGTCTACGCTACTTTCCAGAGTAAGAGGAAATTTAGGTTTTTTATTAAATTGGCATTAACAGAAGAAATATGTTTTATTATTTTAGTGCCTAGGTAAGTGGCTATTTATTGTGGTAATGGGCCAGCTAGTAATATCAATACTGATCATGTGCAACTGATATATATGCATGACACATATCTACACATAGGTGCATCCACGCACGGCCGTCACACACACCTACACGGTCACATGCATGCACGTACACACGCCTCAACATGTATAACCTAGTGGTGCCATCTACTGTGAAAAATTCCCAGATTATTTTAATTATTTATTAATTTAGGGTTAGGGTTAGGGTTAGGGCTAGGGTTAGGGTTAGGGTTAGGGTTAGGGAGTAGGTTGCGGTGGTTTCTGGGATAAGACCTGCTGTGAGAGGTGTGATATAACCTCGACCCACCTACACGGTCACATACATGTACGTACACACGCCTCAACGTGTATAACATAGTCGTGCCATCTACTGTTAAAAATTTCCAGATTATTTTTATTATTAATTAATTTTTATTGTAAACGTATTTTGTCTTTATAAACATACGCAACACGTAAGATAGAGTGAAGCCTATTGACTTCACTATCTGTTTAACCCAATAACCCTGGCAAATATCCTGCTTGACTTGGCTTGAGTGGACTCAGCAAAGCTTAGGTGAACAATACTCACCGATTGTGATGGAGAGACCAGACCACCCAAGTGCATAGTCTGAAGGGGTATTGTCCTGAGCTTCCATCACGTATTCTATAGGCACCGGGACAGCCTGTGCGTATGTCTGCAACTCTATGCTATGACCTGGGTCTTGAAGTAGCAAACAATCCACGTTGTACCACCTGACAAAGATAAGGGGAAGTCACTGAGCGAATGTAGTTTAACAGGTCAGTTCCAATGCATAGCGCAGATAATTGTAAAGCTCTCAAATATCGAAATATCTTCACAACACATAGCGAGATAGTACAGCAACTACACAATTGTAAACTCCTTCATATGTGTCAGCGACAACGACAACAAGAGTTACAACGAGAAAGATCCACGAGCCACACCAGAGGCTCTTGGGAATGCTGTATTACAAGCTACAGCGGAAGTCTGAAAATCCACACTGCTCGAGGATTGGGTTGGTCCAGATTTTCGGATTTTCCGGATTCTCGGGCACACTTTTAAAATTCGAATTTAAGGAAGAATAAAGAAGAGATAAACAAGTAAATTTTGATAGTTTATTTATTAGTAAATACAGCATGCTTCATTTATCAAAACCAGCAGCAAAAATAAAGTCAACACTTGACAAAAATGTAAAAAAAAAAAATTTCGAACAGTCCGGGTTCTCAGGTGGTCCGGATTTCTGCCATCCGCATTTCTGGATTTCTACTGTACTATGTTTGCTTTGTTGGGACAGCAAGCTCACCGGTCAGGTGCAATCTCAACCAGGCAGCCTTCGACGGCAAGCAGGGGTTGGAGTTGATGCACACGCCTGCTCTGCCGTAGATTCTCTATCCTTCCCTCAGCTCCCTTCATACCTACACCAATAATGCATACTTGACTAACATATCAAAGCAGACTAACTGCAAACATTAAAGATAGTATACGGATATGATCTACATATGTGATTTTTTTTACAACGTCACAACATTTTAGTCTGAGGTAACAATGATAAAGCAATAAAGCTTTGCCAGAATTTAATTCGAAACACGATTCAGCACACACCAGCAATGCATACCTGCAGTGAATCCAACCGGCTGCGGAGCAATGCTGTTGTCCGCGGCAAGCCCGTTCACGTCAGCTTTACCGAACACGTC